GGGGGGTGTGTCAGAATATAGGCCGTTTGTGGGGTGGTGGACAAAATCCGGGTGTTCGGAGCTGTGGATTCTGTGGATCAGTTAAATTAGTCAGCACGCACAATCCACCGCGACCCAACTGATCGAACAGCGTTGGACAACAGAACAACACGACATCAGACCAGAACAATACAATCGATCCCCATCATATTATTATACTATTATCCCCGTCTTTGATAACCCATCACAATCTGACAAGTTAACGCTTTATCTTAAACTGCTAGTGGTCGTGCCGCTGTCGTACAGCGTGTGTGAGTTTTAGGGCTTAAGAGCGAGTAAGAGTTCGACTACTACCTCCCTACTATCCTTCTATAGGGCAGGTAGTTATTCAAGTTTTCTTAAGGCAGCGTTTAGTACACCGCCGGGCGGTGAACAGGAGCTTCTCTTTCTTATAGTCTAGGTTTACCCGGTGCTTACGCATCCAGGGTTAGCCTAAGATCATTTTATGGCGTCTAGTGTTTGTAACAAAAAGGCGTATAGACTTAGTGTGGTCGTTATGTCGTAGGGTTAGGTTAACGGTGTAAGTTACTTCTCTACCGTCTAGTACAGTTCCAGTAAATCTAGTCGGGTATATAACGTAGGGCAGCGGGTCTTAGTAGAGTTTTAGGTTGCGCGCGAGATCTCTATAAATATATCCGATACCTGTAGCTCTAGTATCAACTAAGGCCTTAAGATTACTCTTAATATTGCCTTGTTAAGCTACACAGGGTATCGTGATACAGCGTTTCTAGGTGTTAGGTTAAGATTTAGACTAAAGTTTAGCAGAGATTCGATAAGTGCGCGGTCCTAAGGAGCGACTTATCCCCGGGACACGCCTTTCCCCTTAGCAGGTGACTTGCGGGAGCGGCGTCCCCGCGATCGTGATTTTAAAGACCTCGAAGAGTTAGATCGGATAGAGCGAGGGCTCGTAGAGCGAGGGGAGCTGTTCAATCAGATATGCTAGGTTGGCATAGGCACGTTGCAATCCCTAGAGATATAACCTATCTTATTGCATTTAAAGCAGCGCCCTTCCTTGATTCGCTTCTGTCGTTCGGCGGAGCTAGCTAGGGCGTAGTTTAAGGTGTCTAACTCTATTTCTACGGGGTACTTTAGCTGCTTAGCCGTGACATAATAGGATCGGCTAGCTAGTAGGTAACGTAGGTCGTTATCGTATAGGGCTATCAGGTTGGCGTAATCGTTGAGAGAGCGAGGAATTAGGATTCCTACTATAGCTCTCCTAAGCTCGTCAGAAAGTGAGCGTCGGAGCTAGTTAATCTAGGCGCCTTCGTTTAGGTTGGTGTCGGCTACGAGGCGGCGGAATTTAGCAAAGTAGGAGAGAAAGTTCCTCTTTCCTTGCTTTAGGTTATTAAGTCAGCTCTAAGTAGTAAGTTCGCGGTTAGGGTCTCTATAGGTTGCTTCGAGGAACTAAATAAGTTGGTCTACTGTGACAATATCCTTGCCTATAAGCGGGTCGATAAGTGTAGCAAGGTCGTGTTCGAGTCGGGAGTGTGCGTATATAAGTTGTGATTCTTTAGTAGGGAAGCGGTCGGCGTTTCCTTTTAACTTATAGCGGAGTTTAGTGAGGAAGAGTAGGAGGTCTTTCTTCTTGCCGCTAAAGGCAGGGGGGTTAGGCAGTCGTTCCGACCTTGAATTCTTATCAGGGGCAGGAGTTTGGGTTGTAGGTGGGGTCTAGATAGTTAGAGACAAGCTATTCCTAGACTTTAGGGTGTCTTCGGGTGCTGGTTCCTCTTTAGTCTTGGCGAAAGTAGCTTTTAGCAAGGTTCTTGCTAACTGTGTAACTATATTAAGGCGCTCTTCAAAGTCCTTGCGCATAGCAGCCATTTCCTTATAATAACGCGCCTCTTGCTTAGCAAGAGTGTCCGTTAGACCAGCAATCTGCTCCAGTATAAGCTGCAAAGCAGAGTTCGGCTCCTCAGTAGTCATAGTTAGTGTGACGCAACGTAATGTTACGAGAGACTACGTCGCAGTCGAACACAGACAGAAGATAGTCTTTACAGTTCTTTATTGATCGTAGTTACTACAGTAGGGTGACAAAAAGAAAACAACATTAAAAAAGCTACCTTTTTTAAAGCTATATATTGTGGTGTAGTAGCTTGTCACGTGTTCGGCGTTAGGTAATCGGCGCTAGGGTTGAGTATTTTAGGACGACTCCGCGTAGAGGAGCTCGACAGTTATCGTACACCATTCTTAATACTACCGTTTATTGTTCGGATACCTTCTTGTTCTCTACTCTCTACCGATTGCGGGTCGGCAACCTCTCTTCTGACTATTGAGGCTATCCCTCTACCACAATATCTAGACAACTAGACTAGCTAGAACTATAATTTTTAGTGTTTTGGAAAGCTAAGAACTTCCTCTTAAGGTGGGCGTCCTAATATACCCGCTTAGTGAGCACTTAGGAGAAGATAAGTAGCAGTAAATATAGAGATAAAAAATATTCTAGTTTAATGCAGCTACAACTTTTTAGTGAGCGTATAAAAAGTTCTAAAAAAATTATGTGATACTAGATTATATAAGCATTACGTAAGCAGAATTAGAACTAGGGTATTTTATTTACTTTTTTTTAAATCAAAGTTTTAAAAAAAAGGACGCTAAAAAAGACGCTAAAATTACGTAAACTTCTTCTAGTCTTATTCAATAGATTTTTCTCTTTCTAATCTCCATTTTTCTCTTCTATATTACCTCTCTATGTTTATTAAACTTTCGAAATTTAAAAAAGAAGTTTATACTCTATCTTTACAACAGCTATCTACTAGTACTATTAGTACTATCCTAGAAAAGTCTTCTAGATCTATTACAGACGCTTTACAACGTATTAAGAAGAAAAAAAGTACTTCTTTACTTCATTCTAAGCCTAAACTAGGTCGCCCTTCTAAGATCTCTAAAAGAGCTACTAGAGTAGTTAATAGAGACCTAGAACGAAGTCCTAAAAAGACAAATTAAAGCATTTTAGAAAAGAACAATCTCGATTTCTCTACTAGAAGCCTACAACGCCTATTAAAAGTAGAGAAATACTCTGTTTCTACTGCTAAGAAAAAACAGCTTTTAAACGCAAAAAAAGCTGCTTTACGGAATAAATACGCTAAGAAGACACTTAAAATTCTAAAATATATACACTTTAACAAAGTTATATTTTCAGACGAGTCTTTTATACAGCGTAGACACGGTGCTAGGCAAGAATACGTTAGAAAGAGAAGAAACAAGAGAACTGGCAAGAACAAGTCTTCTATGTTGGTGGCTTGCCACTAAGTGCGTAAGGGAAAATAACGATAACTAGGAATGCATCTCTGTTCGGTGGTTCTAATTGATATCTACGAACACTAGGTGCTACGAAGGTATACCTAAGCTCTTGCGCAAGGTGGGCCGAAGTCGGGCCGAAGTGTCCAGCAGCCGACGTCTCTACCGATACTCACGATCCGACACTATTTATAATATAGCACGTCGCTCCTAAATTAAGGATCGATAATTGTGCGAGAGGGTACGTATGCTTAGCGGTCTTACTCCGTCTAGTAGTGAGAGCGGCGTCTACGTCTGTGATCTTCCGGCCTTTAAGTCATTTAATTAGTGACTAAGAGTACTCCGGCGTTATTATATATCATTATTTTAGAGCTAGCGTGCGTGTTGTGGTGTAGTAGCTTATCACGTGTTCGGCGTTAGGTAATCGGCGCTAGGGTTGAGTATTTCAGGGCGACTCCGCGAGGAGAAGCTCGAGATCATCGGATCATTTTATCGTACACCATTCTTAATACTACCGTTTATTGTTCGGATACCTTCTTTTTCTCTACTCTCTACCAATTGCGGGTCGACAGCCTCTCTTCTGACTATTGAGACTATCCCTCCACCACAGTATATAGGATCTATATTCTCAACGGATTAGCCTTTGTAGCTAAATATTATTCTTATATTTAAACTGTACTAATTTGTTTATAGCTTTATTTAGTGTCTACTACTCTAGCGCTAAGTCTAGATTAATATAGTAGCATACTCTAAGTTTATAGTATTAATAACACGCTAGGCATTTCCATCTAAAGGTAGTCCTTTTACTTCACGCTAAGGACCACTTCTATGCTAGCTTTCGTATAGCTTATAAGATTTATAGTTATTTACAAGGACGTCCCTAGTACTTTGCTTACGAGGTATTTCGTAGATTTAAGTTAGTAGTGTTAGATATTCACTCTCATCTAGAATACTGATAAAATAGGTAATAATAGTAATAATATTGATTGTTAATTGTTTTGTGGTTCTGTCTACGGTTGTGGGCACACCTAGGGGGTGCCAAGCCTTCCTGTGATCCGATTAGCTCTTACAGATGCTAGGTCGCGCTAGTCTAACCTAGCGTCTATACGCTCTTATCTCTAATAGTACTATTATCTCATTTACCTCTTTAGCTTAGACGCTCTTTACGCTTATAAGCTAGGCACTTAGTCCTACTTAAGGCTTACTATAAGATTTTTAAGTTTCTCTTGAATTTCTTTAAGCGGTGCTGAGTTTCTCGCTAGAATTTTCTTAGTAGGGACTAGTTCTAGTTATTTTAGGAATTCTAGCTATTTATTTAGTAGCAATAATTTAGTGAGACCGTTAGCGATTATATCCGCGGTAGGCGTGTACTCTACGGGGATCTAGCCTGTTAATACCTCCTATCTAATCTAGTAGTTATGTATATTGACATATCTAAGTTTAGTTCAAAGCTTTAAGACGTTCTTAGTAACTAGGTAAATAGTCTATTTATCATCGTATTAAATAGTAATACTAGGGTTCTTAAGCTAGATATTTAGCTCCTTAAGGAGACAGGATAGGAATAGAGCTTCCTTAGCTACTTAAGACAGGGCGAGAAGCTTAGCTTCTATCGTTAATATTATAATAGTATCTTATTTATTTGCTTTCTATGCGATAAGTCTATTAAACAGCTTAATTGCGTAGCCTTATAAGCTTTTCCTATCTAGGGTATTATTAGTAAAGGAGGCGTCGCTAGCTATCTACAGTCTAGTGCCTCCTCTAAGTTATAGCGCGAGGTGTTTTATTACTAGTAGATATAGAAGAATATAGTTAGTAGTATTATAGTACTCTAGTTGTAGATTAGAGAGAAAGCAGGCGAGCTGTAACGTCGCAAAGGCAATATCTAGTCTAGTAGTTACAGCTGCGAAGAGGAGTAAGCCTATCTTAAGCTAGTATTTATTAATCTCTAATAGGCAGGCGAGCCTATCTTTAGGGAGTAGCTTAGTAGTCGCTATTAGCGTGTTGTGTCTAATGTTAGTATAGTCAGCTAGTCTACTAATCTTGTCTGCGTAGGCTGCCTGCGACAGTTAGATCGTCCCTAATTTATAATCTCTAATAATCTCTACGCTAAGGAACTATTATAGGTTATTTCCTCCTATAAAGAGGTACTTCTCCTGAAAGTAGGTAATTGCCTACTAGGCGGATTGCTCTATATCTTTATAGTATGCTAGTATAATGTCGTCTACGTAGAAGAAGATAATAATGCCGCCTTTAATAAGACAGCAGGGCTCGTAAGATACTTCTTAGAAACTAAGTTCTTTAAGAGTGCCTATAAACTCTTTCTGCTAGAAGAGCGGGGATATACGCAGTCTATATAATGCCTTATTAAGCTTTAGTATAGTGCCTAGTTTCTAATAGCTATATAGTATTCCTGTAAATACTTCTTAGTCTATTATTGTATACATGAAGGCGTTTACTACGTTATACTATTTAAGCTCTAGGTCGTACTTTACTGCAATTACAGTTAGCATTTAGAACGATTAGCTTGCGAAGGTTGCTGCGTATTTATCTTGCGATGTGATGTTTTGCTGCTAATTACCGCAGACAACTAGTCGTGCCTTGCACTTAAGTAGTTCGTAATGCTTATTAAGTTTGTAGGTATATACCTATATATAGTCTAGGATTAACAATCCTATTTACTTAATTTTCTTTATAGAGATTTCTGTCTATAAGTTTATTTAGTAGTAGCTTGCTAGATAGGACTGTTTTAATTCCTTAAATAGTTCAACTTTTAGGTAGTCGTTAAGCTTAGTTTAGCATATTAGCAGAGGTAGTTGCTAACTATAATATGGCTTTAAGCTTTTAGCAAGCATTTTTATAATTATAGCTTTATCTATAGCTACTCCTCTGTATTCTTTAACTTTTCTTGCTTAGATACCCACCATGAACGCTGCTGCCTATAGGGCAGTCTTAAGGGTTCCTTGTTAATCCTTCTTATCTAGCAATGCTCCTGCTATTAGCCGCGCGAGCAACGCTGCGGGTGGCGGTGTCGCTAGAGGTGTTAGGTAGCTGTCCTAGATTTTCCTCCCTTAGTACTATCCTAGCTAGTCGCCCTCGCTGTCCTGAGCGAGTAACTCCTCTAGTAGACTATCTTTGTAGAAGGACTTTGTCTCTAGTTACTGCGATAGTGTTAGCAGCTTAATAGTCTTTATATATATCGCAGTTTCTTCTAGCGTACTATATATAAGGCTATCTATTAGGTCTTTAGTCTTACTATTAAATAATAAGTTTTCGTCGAAAACAACGTCTCTAGTGCTAATTACTTTAGCGAGTAAGGGTATCTAGATGCGATAGATATTTAATAATTAGTATCTAACTAGGTATCTAATCTATGCCTTTAGGTCGAGACGCTGTAGACGAGACTTTCCTCTATAGGTATTATCTGTTATAGCAAAGGCTTTGCAGCTATATGCCTTAAGGTAAGTAAGGTTTAGTTTTCTAAGAGATATAACTATTCCGTTACTAAACGCTACTCGCGTAAAGAAGACTTCGTATAGTGTCTTTTAGTAATTATTATAGTTTAGGGTTATGTTGTAGAGATAGACTGCGGCTTAAGTAATTTCTAGCTATAGTCCCTAAGAGAGGTTAGCGTTAAGTCGTATTACGCGTGCCTTCTCCTTGTTTACACCCCCTGAGCGCTTAGCTCT